CTTTTTACAGAGGTACATTCAAAATTGAATGTAACTCTAAAAGGTTATGACATGCACACTTTGACTTACCTGTAGTGAAAAGGTCCACTGATCTAGATACTAGTAAGTTGAAGTGCACAGGTTGCAACCTTTTTACAGAGGTACATTCAAAATTGAATGTAACTCTAAAAGGTTATGACATGCACACTTTGACTTACCTGTAGTGAAAAGGTAAACTATCTAGATACTAGTAGGTTGAAGTGCACAGGTTGCAACCTTTTTACAGAGGTACATTCAAAATTTATTAACCTACTTTATTTCAATTTATGACAACATACTTGGTATCAAAATGTAGCTTGTAATCCAACTTTTGATATTATGTAAGATTTAATTTCTTAAATTAAAAAAATAAATTTAAATAAATTGTCAGTCTTCACTTTTATGTATCACATTACACTTCTTTGCTCCAAATTATGCATTTTAGGATTTTTTTTCCACCCCTAGGTTATTTTATAAGTTTCTGAGGACTTGCACATTTATGCATTAGATATCCTACAAGCTAACATGAAAACTTAGTGTGTGTTCTTCTTGATCTAATGAGTTATGTGCCATAAACTGAAACTCTTATGCCATGTCCTTTTTCATAATACACTTTGATTAAATTTTATAGGTGTTTGAAGAACTTGTAGCATTTATAGAATGATAGGTTTCTTTTTTTGTGAGTGTAAAACACTTGAATACACCAGTTCGATTTTCGATACCACACTACTATAAAAGCTTGGTTTGGTCTGATATTTCATTGATGGTAGTGTCCAGGGTCACTGATGAGGAGTGGAATTCTCCAAAACTAGTCTGGCTCATAGACACACACCCCGATGAAAGAATAGACCATTCAAAACTTTTACTTGTTGTTAAACAAATGTTTAAACAACTCTATTTATTCAATTATGTACAAGCTGCCCAGTGTCGGCTAACAATACAAAGAATTAAATTGTGGTGAAATGCTACAAGTTCTTCAAATACCTATAGAATGATAGGTTTCTATTTTGTGAGTGTAAAACACTTAAATACAACAGTTCGAGAAGACTTGTAATGTTTACTAAAAGATGCACTTACCTCATTTTAAGTTATAGTATGTATAGATTCATGGTTACATGATGGTTAAAAGAGCAGTCAAAATGACCGAGGACATATATGGAGAGTTAATAGCTTATTACTAATATGCATATCACAAAGAAACGTGGTTTAGAATGGAATTTCACCTTTTTTGATAAAAAAAAAAATATTGAAATATGCTTGAAACTTAAGTTTTAAACTTAATTTCTGATATTAGGAAGATAAACAAGTCTTATAAAAATGAGAAGTGTATACTTGTATTGCTACATAGTCACGTAGGTTGAACAGTATGAGAATGTTCTGAAATATAAAATGCAATATAAAGCAGGCTTCAAAAAATCCTGGGACCCAGATCACCATGGTGACTAAAAATTTCTCCGTGGCACCTATTATTTTATTCATGCATAGAACTGTGCTAAACAGAACATGAATCTAGAACAGTTCTGGACTCTTGGAAGTCTAGAACAATTTTTGCGTCCTTTGTAACCGAAGTCGAACTTTGTTTTTAGGAGTTTAATGGTAGATTCAGCACTTGATGTTGTTTCAGGAATGATGCACTGCAGTTGCCTAACATGTAACGAATTTCATGCCATTTTCTTTTCTTTTTTCTCTCAATTCAACCAATCAGTGTACATTTTTAAACTCGTACAGTACCAATGGCAGTAAGTTCAAGCAATACTATAAAGTGGTTGTTGATGTCATGTGATTGTCAGCATGCACTCGTTGCTGTGAAAGTAAATAAATATACACTGGTACTTCGATTATCTGCACTGGTCTGGGGAAAGCAAAAAATTGTGGATAACAGAATCAGCGGGTAATCAAGGCACTATTGTATCTCACTAATTAGCCCATTGTTTAACCATATTTTTTGTAGATATGTTTTTAGTACTTGATTTTTTATTTATTTTAAATATTCAATTTAGAGCACAAAATATTAACATGAAACCATAGAAACAATGTTTTAAAACTATTATAATTTAACTGGCTATCTAACTAACCTGGTTGAGGCAATTTCAGCAATTCCAAACTATTAAATTGACACAGAATACCCCAAAACCAATCAATAAAATAAGCTAACCTCATAAAGAAAGTAATAAATTAAAATCTTCTCTTTCTATTGGTAATAAATAATCCTATTAATAGAAAATATCAGAGAATTATTAAGTTTTTTTAATAATAGTGTATTCTAAACAGGACATGGCTTAAGAGTTATAGTTTATGCCTATTCATCATCTTTCTTGTTTCCTCTCAGTAGTCCCAAACTCTGTGTTCAGTTCAGCTGTTGGTACATCTCTATTGACTTTCACGTTTTCCATTTCTGTAATGGTTTTTTGGGGTTGTCTCACCTTAATCTGCCTTCCTTTTTTGTTGTTGTTGGCAATGCTCCATTGTGCAATTTCCATCCATTCTGTCTTCATGCATGGCTTTTATCCTGTCCTTAGCCAGAAGGTCAGGTCTTTCCAGGCATATTGGTTCCTTGGTTTTCATGTCCAGGTTGTCCTTCCTCTTTGACATTTTCCAGGAGTAGTTGATATACATCATGCTCTTTATTTATACACTCAGGTTATCATCCTTTTATTACTCCCATTCCTCATGCTGTCCTTTTTCACTTAGCCTTTTAACAGGGACCTATGTGTTTCCTCTGTTGTGGGCTTTCGGATTATTTCCTGGCTATGTTATTTTGTTCATTCTCCATTGCTTGACTTCTCTCCAGGATTTGGAACCTCCATGTTGGCCTTCATGCTTTTTATAATCCTTCATTTTAACCCTTGTCAGCAGATTTGTTATTTTATTTTATTTCCTGTCCCTGTTCCTTATATTGTTGGCCTGTGGTCACCATTTTCTGGCACGTTTTGTTCTCTTCTTCTCCCATGTTTAAGTCCATTCTACTTCTGTCCTATTCCTTTGCCTGTCCAGGGGTTTTGGATTTCTAATACATGCATTGTGTTCTTTGGTAATACCTGTGTCAGTTTGTTTCTTCATTGGAGTCCTAACCTTTCCCGTGATTTTTCCCCCTACTCCCCTGGAGAGTTGGATTCGCTAGCCTCTTTGCCAGGTGTTGGTTGATCAACTCTGCTTTTCAAAATAGGGTATTTCAGTCACCTATTGCACTATCTCTAGTGCTGCAGGCCTCCAGACTCTTTAATTCATTTTGTATCTCTTCTAGTGGAGTATGGGAGTCCTTGCTGCTTACCATTCCTAGCTGTTGGGGTGGTGGATCTTGGCGGCCAATCCTCCTGAGTGAAGCACAATTCCATTCAGCTGAGAGTAGGGCAATAGCATTCTGTTGATGTCAGTGGCATGACACCCTTCCTACCACAGATCTGATGTATAATTCCAGATACCACGAGGTGTTGGTTGTAGCACTCCACCATATATCTGTGTATTGCAGGTTGCCCATCCGACTGAGATATTCCTACTTTCGACCATCCTCTAGATGTCAGTTTCCAGTTGTGTCAGATGTTGGTTGGAGATGATCCAGTCCACCCCTCCTAATGTGGACTGGATGATAAATTCCAAATGCCGCCAAATTTTGGACTGGAGGTGCAACCCCAAACTGAGGTCCCTCTTTATCTGGCGTTAGTTGAAGCTGGACAAAATACATGAATTCCTCATGTATAAGGCTAGGTTCCCTGTTCCTACTGCAGACTGGATGATATATTCCCAATGCCATGAGGCTTAATACCAGAGGTGAATGCCTCCTGAGCTCTCCTTACATCCTATCCATCTGTTGGATGTTGGTTCCCAGTGGATCCGGTGTTGGTTGTGTTGGAGATGCAAACATGCTGAGATGGGTTCTTAGTTCAGAAGCTCATATTCCCTCCCAGTACCCATTTTGGAGGTGAAAGGCAGAGAACCCTCTTCCTATCGCAGACCTGATATACAATTTCAGATGCCATCAACTGTTGGTTGAGGTAGAACTTCTCTTTACAGTCTGTCATGCTCTAGTCACTCGACACCTCGAGGTCTGATTAATGATTAAACCATTTTAGGAGCCATCCATGTTTTTGCCCTTTTGTTTTAATGACACTTTACTCAAGAGCAAAGGGTATACCTAGCTCAGAAGTAGTGCAGTCTCTCACTGGTGTGATGTTTTTAATTCCTTTTCCACACCCCATGGTCTTTCTTTGGGCACTTTCTAGAGGAGGATCATCTTCTGACTGGCCCTCCACCAGTTCAATGTGGGATTCTAGCTTTTTGTGGGAAGAGGTAAGATATTGTATTGGAAGTTAACATTTTTCCTAAATTAAAAATGTATTTTTGTATATATATTTACCTCCTCTCACATTTTCCACCCATCATCCCCACTTCTTGGGTATTGATTAACTTGGTCATGGGCAATCTCTAAGTGATTAACAGGTGCATTATTAGAGAGGGTGCTAGTTATGATAGGGTAGTGTCACATTCCTATTGGTGGATGGTTACAAGGCTAGTGGCAAGCGAAACATTTGCTATGATAGAGGGCAGCACAAATTGAGAAAGCTTTTTATGAGAGGGGTTAAGTATCTATTTGAAAATACGTTTTCAGATTAGGAAAATGTTAACTTCTATAGAACTTATTTCTAAAAGTTTATGAAAAATATATATATATATAGTTATATTTATAGTTTGTGATCAGGAAATTTTTGCAGGTTATTAAATGTGAATTTAACCATTTTAATAGTTTTTGTTTTTTTAATAAGACATTTTAGATGCAATACGTATGCTATTAATATTTGTTAAAACCTCAAAATGTAAGACATAAAATAACTAAAATTAGTATTGGTTTTATCTAATCATTTTTGTTTACTCATTAATTGATATGTTATGTATTAACATTAACACTGTGGTCCTAATGTACAGTAAATTATGCTGTTAACTGAAACAGTCTTTGTATTTTAATTGCTCAGTGATTTTATTATCATGATTTTTAATTCTACAGGTGGGACTTATGAAGGTTTGCAGTATTTGAAAGGAAACTGTGGTGTCAGCATAGTTCGTAGTGGTTAGTATAATTTCTTGATCAACCAGTTTGTGTACATTTTAAACTAGTTTACACCCAAACTGTGTTTGTTTCAGCATTTGTACATTATGTAAATGGCTTGAATTAATCATATATGTTTAAATGAAAACAACTGTTTTTTAGTGAAGTTTAAAGTAGGTTTGTTATGCTTACAGTTTTACAATATAACATTACTACACATAGAAGAGCAATAGTGCTTATAATTTTGATGTTGAAAAACAGGGGAACTTGTAGCGATGAAGCTATTATGTAGTATTAGATAAAGAAATATAATTTGAAACTTCTAATTGATGTGAGTGAAATTGATATATCTTCTTCTCTGATGACTTAAACTTCTGTATATTTTAATATTAAAGAAAAATAACTAATAATAGCTTGTGAAAGATGTTTGTCTTTTATGTACTTTTTTATCAGTAGTTTCAAACAAAATTTAATATTAGTCAATGATTATATTACAACTCTAACAGCATAATAATCCAATTTATAGAGATAATGCAACAATAAAAATATTATTAAAGACTATTTATGACAAAATAGCAGTATCAAAAAACTTTTCTGATGAATTTTGTTTGTGAACCAGTATTGTGCATGTATGTTGAATTGTGTAGTGTACAGGTTTTTAATACTTTTTCTTGTATGAATATATTTCTTCTCATTTTATACTTATTGCTTCTCAAGAATTTTCTGTAAACTCGTTAAACAGTATTTGTCATCTAACTTGAATAATCAAGTTGTTATATTCTGTTGCTTTCCAATTTCCTTCCATTGTAATAAAATAATTTGCAGCCTGATTCACACCATCCAATCAAATTGTAGGCATAGCTGAGTTTATGCAGACCTTTCTCAGATTTTTATTCACAAAATGGAAAAATATTGTTAAAAAATAAAATGTATTTAAAAAATTGTCAAATGTGTGAAGTATAAACATTTATTTAAGCTCATCATATTTTTCATTTAACCTTTTTGAAAAAATTCCTAGTATGGCAATAGCTCCTTTATTTTTCTGGTGAAACCCACCTACAATTCATGACATTTTTAGCTTGATGAATTTTAAGGTACAATGCATTCGGGTGTTAATGAAGTAATTAAAAAGTGGTTGAATAGAAAGGCCAAATTATTCAAGTTATTCACCATCACTTCTTAGAAATCTTGTTGGAGATTCATATGATTCTTACTGGTTTGTCATTTGTTACTAAAAGTGGCAAAAGTGCTACTTATGTTTTTTTTTCTATAAATGTGTCTTGCTGTCAAGTGAATGAAAATGATTAGGGTTATAATAATTTTAGCTCTTTGTCTAAAAAATAAATGTAGATGTAAAGTCTTATAGTTGAATAAGACGTTGATTTAATCCTGAAGACTTTTTAACCTAAAGTATCTGTAGAAAATATCATAAAGTGAAACATGTGGAAAATAGGAACACTAGTTTTTTTTAGATTTATGCAAAGATGATTCAAATGCTCACTGATTTAAGGCAAAGAAATAAAATTTTTGCATTCTACAGGTGAATGTTAATTGATCTTATATTTTATGTTCATATGTTCAAACAAGATTTTTATTGTTATTGAATTACAAGCTGAATAGAATATTCATTTTCCAACAAAGTCTTATTTATATTTGTTAATTTTAAGTTAAAGCAAAACTAGAACTGCCATTTTTCTAAGCTTTAGTAATTAAGATACTTATCGATTTTTGTTTAAAGAAATCAGTAATAAAATTCAGAAATATTGAGGATAAATCAGTAAATGTTCGTATTATAGCAATAGCAGTGAAACACTTAATTGGATCTTGTAATTAGCAAATCCAGAAGATCAAGGGTGCATTGATTTTCAAATTCAAGTGTGCACTTAATGTTTTGAATTTAGATAGTCAAAAAAAGAATGAGCCTGAACATGATTATGGAAAATTAAAAAGTAGGGCTATAATTAGGTTTGAAATCAGCTAGTTAATAATTGAGCCACATTTTTCATGAAGTGTCATGAAAAAATTTGACAAATAGGGTGCTAGATAGCTGCCACTGACTAGATCATCAATTTGGTTGAATATTTCCCTATAAAGCTCAAATTGGAACCCTTCTGTTATGAATTCTAACAGATTTTTTCAAGACTTTTGGAGAGACCATTAGCAGTCTCAGCATTTTAAAAGACTAAGTATATGGTTAAGACAATTATTTAATTCAATAGTTTGTTAAAATACACTGAAGTAACATCAGAACTAGCCATGAAAACTTCATGGTCAAACATGAGATTTTTTTATAACTTAAGAAATTAGTTTTATTAAGAGTATGCTCTGAAGAAGTGAAGTCTATGAGAGACATTTTTAGAAAAGTTGCTGACTTTTATGTACATGTTCCTATACTTGAGACCATAGGAGTGCTTTCTGTAGATCTTAGGGAAACCATACATTAGGTCAGAGTATGAACTGGAATACCTCGGTTTTTCAAAAATAATGTTATTGATAATGTTACCTCTAGTAATTGGATACTTTGTTTTTTTATCATAATCTTATTCAGAATTGAAACATCATTTTTTTTTTTATCTGGATATGTGATGAATCTGCCTTTATTTTATCTTAATTCCAATAAATTAGAAAATTGTTTGTACAAAGAATGATTTGGCAAACTGAAAGCAATGTAAACATGGCTCTGGAAAATATAATTAGACACATTAGACTTATTGATGGTTTCTTTGTGTAGTTAAGTAAGACTTCAAATTGTGCAAGAAAATAATATTTTTTTAAAAACTTTGTTTTTCATTTTAAATCAAAATTCAAACTTTGTGCAGGTTTTTGTGAGATTAGAATTGGAGAAATTAAAGATAACATCATCAAGATGATTATAATGGTTAATTTTTATCTAGTGACTTTAAAATTATTTCTTCAACTTGTAGTGAAAAGGAGTTAAGGATAAATATAATTATTCTCCTCAAGGATCGAAAAGCCTTCCCTCAACACAAAGAAAAGTGCAAAGGAATTTTTTTTTCAAGCTATAGGGATTACCCTAAAATCTCTTTTGGATAAAGCTAAAGATAAAACAGTTTTATTATTATGTCAATCCTAAGTTACTCTTACAGTTATTAAGTTTAATTTTACAATTTATTACTCTGTTTTTATTTATTGTAAACTAGCATAAGAATGATGCTGAGTATTTCTTAGTTAATTATTTTTTTTACAGGAGAAGCCATGGAGCAGGGGCTTCGAGACTGTTGTAGGTCAATTCGCATTGGAAAAATTCTTATCCAAAGTGATGAAGATACTCATGAGGCCCAAGTGGTTTATGCCAAGTTTCCAGAAGATGTTGCTCACCGCAGAGTCTTGCTTATGTATCCCATAATGAGTAAGTTATTCTTGGTTTACTTCATGCAGTTTGTAATGATAAGCATTTATTTTGGTGCAATTCTAAGAACTTGTGAATAACAGTAAAAAAAAAAATATATATATATATAGCAATATGTCAGCTGAACTATATCTGCTGTGTCCAGTGTTGGATGAGATATGATAGAGCTAGTAATGGTTAAGATGCTAATTATATTATAGATTCCATCCAAAAACACAAACTTGGAAATCAAGTTGAATATGCATGTTATTATAAGATAGAATACAGATGGTTGGGCATATTATATTAAAACGATTTTGAATATGCAAATTGGCAAGTCACATGACAGCCACAACCATTATAAAGTTTTTGTGGAACAGTATGTGTTACAGCTACAGTTTGACATTGTTCAGATTTTGTAGGCAGTGTGATGCCACCAAAATTTGATTGCTTTTGAAAGAAGTATGTATCAGCCCTTTATGAACAACATATTCATACACTTAGCTCATAAAAGATATGTTCAGATTGGAGATTTAGAATTTCTAAGCTAGGATATTCCTTGTAATTAATGGTATAGGAAAACAACATAATATTGGTCAGTTTGGGACACCAGGATCATCCAGAAAGAGACCTACAACAAGCTATATACTAGCTCTGGTAAACAAAGTGTGGCATCTTGTAATGGATGAGAACCCACAAACACAAAGATCAAAGACAAAAGGTAGATACATGCCCCTTGCAACAGTACCTGACATAATCAAGGAGGATCTTCATCTGAAAAAATGACATAAGTCAACTGTACACATGTCACCTCCACAACATATCCAACAAAGGAAGGCCAACTGCAGAAATAATATCTAATGGGGAAATAATGGCAGTATATGATGAAAGCCTGTAGGGGGAGTGGTGTGCTTTGGACATGGCAACTTTATAATGAAGCCTTTTAAAGTGGAAACTATGTTGCGTAGCAATTGTCAAGTACATTGTCATCAGACACAGTAGGACTGAATATGGAAAAATGAACTATAATGACATGAAGAGGCTCCAAAAACATTTGGATATAATGTACTCAACTCTGTATCCTCAAAGTTGATTCACGTGTTCTTTGAATCCTATTTATATGCAAAAGTGGTTATGGTAGTTTTGCAATGAAGTCATTATTTCTCGTATTTTTTTTTAAGAACCACATAACTTTACATAGCGTGGTCACAAGTAAATAGACACCACCTTTTCAGAAAAAATGAAATTTTCCAGTCATATTCATATGAATTGACATATTTATAATTTAATTAATATCTAGTAGATCTTCCTTTCGCTTCGTGGAGTTCGATGATCCTTTGGGGCATCGTGAGAATCATCTCGTCAATTTTAGATTGTGGGATTTTTGCCCACCCTTGTTTCAATACTTGGAGTAGATCGCTCTTCGAAGTTGGTTTTTTTTTTGTTTCTTGACTTGCCGGTCGAGTATGGCCCAGAGGTTTTCGATGGGGTTCATGTCAGGAGATTGGCTCGGCCAGGGCAACTTCTGGATACCAATTTTTTCCTGCCACTTTTTGGTGTTTCTAGCAATGTGACACGGTGCTCCAT